AACATTTTACTGAGGTGAAACCTGACATTCACAACAATGACTCCCTTCCCTAAAAGGATAAATGACTTGGTCATAAATTCTAACATGGCTCCATGCAAGCCGAGCTGTGGTCAAGTAGGGAGATCATACCACGTGTTCAAGTCCGTAGTCTGCCTGGGCGATGGACGTGCTGCTGAAAGTGTTGGTCTCTATGATATCAGCACCAGCCAGCAGGTACTCCTGAGGAGAGCAAAGTTAGCACATAAATACAACTACACACCTGCACAGTGCAGGCGAAGTGCAAAGATTCTCATTTCGATGACTGGATTAACCAACCTTGTGTATTTTGTAAATGATGTCTGGCTGTGTGATGCTGAGAACGTCATTGTTGCCTTTCAGCGGCAGTGTGTGTGTTTTGAACTCCTCCCCCCTGAAATCATCTTCTTCAAGCTTTCGCTGTTGGATCATGGTTCCCATTCCTCCATCCAAGACCATGATCCTTTGCTGCAGCACTGCTCTCAGCTCTGACTCCAGTGGGCAGCTGCATCCTGAGCAGAAAACGGGATGTAGTTATAGATGACAAACTACATGTTACACATGACAGAAAGAGAAAAACCTCAGAAACTTTGTCAAAGTGATCCTGCAGGTCATAAATGTGAGACGGGTGATTTTTATTCAGCATAACTTAAATATTCTTTGGATATTTTTTGGTTTTTTTACATATGCAGCACCACTACATGGTATATATGCAAACACAGCAAGTGTACCTTTTTATTTAAAGCCTGGGTGACAGATTAGGGTGGGGTCTGGGGCTTCTGTGCTAGAACATTCTGACCATCAAACTTTATTTCCAGCTGTCTGATGATTTTTTTACATCAGTTTGTGATTGAAATGCTTTTCTTTATATAAAATAAAAAGGAAAAACAGGCACGAGGCATTCTGTAATTATTCAGGACTTTTCTGCTTTAATGTCGTCACGGCAGAGTGAACGCGCACTGACATGATTTGCATTTGGTTTTATACATAATAAAGTACATTATGGGGACATGTGAGCCACGTGCTTCACATCTGATTGTGCAGCAGCAGAAGTACACGCTCTACCGCACACATGTGTCGCTGAACACGTGTTGGGTCCCTGTACAGTAGCTGCAGCACCAAGTTTAGCGAACAGATACCTGTTACCGCGGCCAACACTCCGCATATTTACCCGCTTCTGAGGAGTGCGGCTGAAACACGTTAGTGGGAGCCATGTTGTAAACAGCCTCACAGTCCGTCTGAGGAACACAAAGATCTTTTTCGAACTTATCCAGCCGACTCGCTCCTGTTTAGTCGAAGCTTCTTCAGTGATTCGAGGGTCGCACTTCCGGTCTCTTTATTTCAAAATAAAGGTTTCAAAAGGGAAAAGTAGCGTTTGGACACCGCTCAGAGCCAACAGTTACAAAACTTTCCCTGTTACGATGTTCTAGGCTGACTCATTCCACGGACAGATATGAGATTAGTCCACCCTATCTGGCGACTGGCCCACCCAATAAAAACTAAAGCAACATGAAATTGACTTTTGTTCAGCCAATGCAGAAAGCAGCAGTAACCCCGTCTACTTCTTATTGGCTGCGCCGCCCACAGCCCGCCTCTAAGTCCCGCGCTGCAAAATACAAAGTGTTCAAAGAAGAAATACGCGTAGATAGGTGAAACACGGCCACACCTGTCGGCACGGGTCTCAGGGCTCTAGCCCCGCCCACTATTACTACTGACGTGGCTCACAGCAGGGGTCTCGAACTCCTCCTCGAGGACCGGTGTCCTGAAACTTTTCCACGTGACCCTGTTGCATCACACCTGGATACAGTTCGTATGTCATTAGCAAGACTCTAGAACTTGACCGCATGCTGAGG